CCCCTCTCATGCTCTCTCTCTATCTCATTCTCTCTCTCAAATAAATAAATAAAATCTTTAAAAAAAAAAAGTATTAGTTCCCCTTAAATAGATGGGCATCAGAAGAATTTGTAAACTTTATCTATTTGTAGATGTCCCCATTTGTAGGCAAGAAATGAATAATATAGGTTCAAATATAGGTAAAGTGTCTCACAAGTAAAATAGTCACCAAAGCAAGATATTTTGTCCTCATTGCTGGCTCTTAATTTTCATTACATGCCAGGTATAGTATTGGTCTTTGATCAGTAAGATCAGGGGTTACCCTCAGGTGATTTGAGACATAAGGAAAGCTCACTGGACTTCTCCAGAAGATTTTCTGAAAGGACAATTCCAGCCATCACTGTTTTACTGTTATAAATAAGCGGTCAAATCTTTGGTTGATGTTTTAAATTTAATACTTATTCTCAGATTTTTTTTTTTTTTAAATAGAGACAGAGAGAGAGAGACGGTAAGAGAGGGAACACAAGCAGGGGGAGTAGGAAAGGGAGAAGCAGGCTTCCCGCGGAGAAGGGAGCCCGATGCGGGGCTTGATCCCAGGACCCTGGGATCATGACCTGAGCCTAAGGCATCTGCTTAACGACTGAGCCACCCAGGCTCAGTCTCATCCAGAGAGAGCGAGAGGAGGAAAGAGAGAAAAATAGAAAGACTGGCAGACACAGTAAAAGAGGGAGACTCAGAGAAAGGCAGTAGGGAGACCATGACCATAGAGGGTACTGTTAAGTGATATTGCACTAGGGATACTGAACAGCACTTTGTACTTCTTCACAACACTGAATTTTTAAATTTATAATTTAATATCTGATGGTTCCCATCTTGTATACACACATACCCTGTAAGTTCCATTAGGGAAGATCTCTTGTGTGCCTCTGCAATCCAGCACCTGGTACTGGCAGAGTAAAAGTGCTGCCCCTCAGGGCTTCTGGGTGGCTCAGATGGTTAAGCGTCTGCCTTTGGGTCAGCTCATGATCCCAGGGTCCTGAGATCGAGCCCCGCAGCATTGGGCTCCCGGCTCAGCAGGGAGTCTGCTTCTCCCTCTCCCTCTCTCCCTACTTGTGCGCTCTCTCTCTATTATTGCTCGGTCTTAAACGAATGAATAAAATCTTAAAAAAAAAAAAAAAGTGCTGCCTTAAAGTTTCCATGAATTGGTTGAGTGACAATTTGAGAGCAGACAAGAGCACAACAGTCTTTGTCCTGAGCACCTCATATTTATGATGTTTTTGCCCTAACTTCTAAAACAGTATATGGGGCGCCTGGGTGGCTCAGTCGTTAAGCATCTGCCTTCGGCTCAGGTCATGATCCCAGGGTCCTGGGATCAAGCCCCGCATCAGGCTCCCTGCTCAGTGCTTCTCTCTCTCCCACTCCCCCTGCTTGTGTTCCCTCTCTCGCTGTTGTCTCTCTCTGTCAAATAAATAAATAAAATATTTAAAAAAAAATTACTTATGGTGCTATCAGTCAGCATTTATTATTGTTAATAATTTTGGTGTATTTCCTGCTTGGTTGCCTTTTTATACATAGACATTTTAAATTTTTTAATAATGGGGATTTTTAACAAAAACATATTTATTGTTGGTTTTAGTGTTTAGAAGTAGTGTGAATTTAGAGGGTAGATCTGGGGCTATACCACCCCATGTGTGAAATCACCTTCTGCCATTTGTTACATGCCAAATGCTTACTCTCTAAATCCGTTTCCTTATCTATAAAGTAGGAATAGTATGTATGTATTTATAGGTTGTTGTGAGAATTAAAGTGAGGATAAGGTAAATGTTCAAAAATTATTCTTGTTGTTATATTACAATATCAAAAACTTCAATGTTTTTTCTTCTGATTATGAAAATAATATATATCTATTGTGGAAAAATACAAAAGAGCATATAGAAGAAAATCATACATAATTCCATCCACCACCCAGATAATAGAAAACCACTTTTCACATATTCTCTCCCAGTCTTTTTACATACATACTTTTAGGGGATGTAGGGGAAGCAACTTAACATTTACGGTTGACAGTAAATCAACTACATGGGATTCTTTTTTTTTTTTTAAGATTTTATTTATTTATTTGACAGAGAGAGACACAGCAAGAGAGGGAACACAAGCAGGGGGAGTGGGAGAGGGAGAAGCAGGCTTCCCGCTGAGCAGGGAGCCCGATGCGGGGCTCGATTCCAGGACCCTGGGATCATGACCCGATCCGAAGGCAGACGCTTAACGACTGCGCCACCCAGGCGTCCCAACAATAAAACATATTTTAAAACATCTTTCTTCATCTCTTTATTTCAGAATCTGATATAGTATCATAACTACCCCTAAACTATCTTCTCACCTTCACTCAAATCAACTTAGGCTAGCTCTTGACTCTTTTGTACTTTCTTTTCTATGCTATATTTTAGCACAGATGCAATCATATTATATGTACAACCTTGAATTCTTATTTTTTAACATAATATAAATATTTTCACATGTCCTTAAAAGTTTTTTAGATAAGGCTTTTCAGTCCTTTTATTGTTTAATTATGAATATTTCAAATGCATGGAAAATTTTGCTGTCTTCAACCTGTTTCAGAACCTCTTGTTTTTATGTCTGTAGAAACCTATCCTAATTGCTTTCTTTTTATCTCTACAGAGTAAGGGTCAAAAATTAGAACCCATTCCTCATCGAAGACTAAGAATGGTAACAAACACCATTGAAGAAAATTTTCCCCTGGGGACTGTGCAGTTTTTGATGGACTTTGTGTCACCCCAGCATTACCCACCCAGAGAAATTGTGGCACACATCATCCAGAAAATCCTGCTCAGTGGCTCTGAGACCGTGGATGTCCTAAAGGAGGCCTATATGCTTCTCATGAAAATTCAACAGTATGAACCTTAGATGTTGGTGAATCTCCTAGGGAGCCTGGACTCAGGGCACAGCTTTCTCTTGCCTAAGCTTGCTTCAGCTAACCATTAGAGAGGGTGATTAGTATGTCACTGTTATTTGGGTTGCAAGTGACAGGAAACCCAATCCAAACTAGCTTTAACAGCTGATAAAAGAGAATTTAATTATTCATGTTACTAGAAACCTATGAATAAGACTTAATTCAGTTCAAAATGGTTACCAGGATCCATTTTTCAGCCCTGCTCTGCTCCTCTTTTCAGGATCTACATAGTAGTCTTCTCAGCCTCCAGCTTTTATGAGAGAGTCCACTTCCTTTATAATTACACAAGAGTTCTGAAATTGAGTCTTGTAGGCTTTAATTGGTATAACATAGGACATGAGCTCATTTTTGAACCAATCACTGTGAACTGAAGGATAGAATATCATGATTGGCTAACTGCTTCACAGACTTCATCCTAGGAATGTGGTAGATAAAGCTAATGGGCTAGAGTAATAAAGAATTGATTTCTTCAAGGCAAAATTGGGGTACTAATGCCTTCCAAAAGAGAAGTGAATAGTGAAAGTTCCACTACCCTCAGATGACATGGTATCATGTCAAAAGATGGGCAAGAGCAGTGAGGATAAGAGGAGGTTTCTTGTTTCTGTCATCTTCCATATCACATGCCCTCTTCCATTGAACTCCCCAGAATTCTAATTGATGTCACTTGACTTTCAGGCTACATCCAGCTAATGCCAAGACAGTGGAGTGGGACTGGAAGCTGCTCACTTATGTCATGGAGGAAGAGGTAACATAACAATTATGAGGGTGTATCTTTTGCACAAGTTTTAATTAGAAACAAAAGTGAAAGCAAATCTGATAGTAAAGTCTTTGCCCTTATTCCCTCCTTATACTCCCACCCCCACCAAAAAATTCCTATTGAAATGGTGTGTGCTGTCTTCCAATTCAAAATTAAGTGTATTCACTTATCCCTGTCCTTGAGATCCCATTAAAAAGAATAGTAAATGAACAGAGAAAGATATAAATCCATGGCAGTGAAAATAAGGGGAAGGGCAATAGATCTGAATGAAAACTAGAAGAACTAAAGGAAATGTAAGATTGTTACTGGTGAGGCTAGGCAGAGAAAGCCACAGGCTATAATACATGCAGCCAAGGAGCAAGGAAATCTACGCTTTAGAGCAGAGAGTTTTCAACTCAGAAACACAATATATATAAGAGGGTTGGAGCCAGACATAGGCTGTAAATTTGTTGAAAGTTTGTAGATAGAACTGACAACCTCTCCATTCTTGAGTACAGAAAGTTCGGTCATCAGACTACCTAATTTCAGGCAAAAAGTCAGAGGATTTATTGTCTAAAAACATTGAATGAACCATCTGTCATAAACAAAGGCACCTAGTATAGAGTTAGTGTTCCAGAAAAAGTCTTTTGCATTCTGACTTTTAGGGATCCCTAAATTAAATTGCCAACTTTCTGTCTGCTCACCCAAAGCACTTGGATGGAACAAATTATTTTCAACTTAGAATTCTAAACTCAACCAAACTATTATTCAAGTGTGAGTGTAACATAAAGACATACAGGAACTTGAAAAAATATCCCTACACCCCATTTCTTTGGTTACCTAAAGGTATGTGTCAAAAGAATGGGGGATAATAAAGAGGGAGGCACAGGATCCAGGGAACACTAGATCTAATCCAAGAGAATAATAAAGAGAATTCCTAAAATCATGGTGAATAGTAGACCTAGAGAGCATTCAGTCCAAATTGGAGCAAAATAATTTAGGGCTTTAAGAATGATCTGGGAGGGGTGCCTGGGTGGCTCAGTCATTAAGTGTCTGCCTTTGGCTCAGGTCATGATCCCAGGGTCCTGGGATCGAG